GATGCAGGGCAGATGATTTTATCCGCATGTTGTGGTTGCGTTTCTGCTAAACAACACGCCACCTGAGTAGAATTTGTTTACTATTTCGACGTGGCCGAGAACGTCTGGGCTAACAACTATATGCTCAGATGCACCTCAACATTTGTGCACACTTCACTCATGCAACATTTAGAGATAATTGGATGGTCTTTCGTGACTTAGCGATTTTGAAATTAATGATACCCAAACAAGATGGTCGAAATAGCTGCAAGATAAATGAAGTAAGTACGTTCTGTTCCACGTGGATAGCCGTCTTCTTAGTAAAAGTTAAATTTATTTTTAGTTGGGTTATGCGGGCATTGTGTTTTCTATTTTAGTGTTCGCTGTATAAACCAGTATTGTAAAGCGAAATGTTGTCCTCTGATACACGAGTTTTGTACAATTTCATGAAGACTTAAACATAGCTGGCGCGTTCAAGCTGCATGGGTCAACTTATTGGGAAAAATGTAATAGGAACCCGGATGGTCTCATTTCCTTCTCGGAGTCATTGATAGTTGTGCTGGAGGGGTGATGATGAGTGAAAAGCCAGAAAAATGCACTACGTAGCCGATTCTGTCCCGCGTTCAAAAAGAGTTCCATGTTCACATTCGTCAAACAAACACGCGGGAACTTTGCCTGATTTGGAGTCCGAGCCATGGACAGAAAAATTTCCCAAATATTAACCTTGTATCGCTCTAAACTAAATTTGATTAAGTTGCACTCGGCAAACTGTTGATCTAAAAACATATTGATCATGATGACATTCCTCACAGTAAACAGTACTGAGTGAGCTGTTACATTATCCAATACCGCTTTGTGTATTATCACTCAGTAAAAGCAGCAGTGATGTTGGTAAGCAGTTGTGGTACATAAAGTTCAACAAACGATGTACAAATTTCTTTCCATAGTACACAGCTATTTTTCAACCGCTTTCACTGCCTAGGTTTATCATCTGTGCTACAAACATAAGTGTTAACCTTCCCATTTGAGACACAGCGTCCACACAATTGTACACATCTGCACTAATGCTGATTGTGGTGAATCGGTTTGGAAGATGTCGGTTCTCCGATATTCTCATTATCTAAGTTGTGAACTACAACCCGATTGCGGAGAATTCGTCGTTCGCTACCATCAAAATTCCGGCATTTTTGGAAATGTTCTCCAACTTTCCTGGGTGCAGCTAGGAAGAGCGCAAGGCATTTGTACGCTGGCTACACCAAAAATGTTCTCTGCATACTCGTTGTTCGCACCCGTTGTTTTGTGGCAGTAAAATCGGGACCTTATATTTACGTCCGCGTAAGTATAAGCGTGTAACAAGTTGCACAGATTCTGGACGTCACAAATGGGAATTGTGAGTGCTGCGCTCCCCACATGACCGCTTGCACATCAGGTCCGTCCGGGTCTGAAATGCAAGGAAGTTTTATCTCCACAGTGACTCAATGAGTTCATCGTTTACGCCACGAAGACGCCATTGTACCGGAACGGATTCGGTTTATTGGCCCGACATGCATCCATAAAAATGGACAAAAATCACTGTTTCTTTTCCGACTATTAAGCGGAATAGCGCCTACTAAAGAAAAATAGGAAAAACTTTCATGTTGTGCAGTTTAGCTCCGAGTAGGTGCACATGTGGAAATCTGCCAAAAAGCAAATCGTCACAAGTTGACCAGCTCCGGATTTTTATCCCACTTTTTTAATTAACAGTGCAAACCATAAAAAACGATAAAGAATGCAACAACTGTCTTAGTGAATTTACGAAGCGATGGAAATAAATTAATAACAAAATAGAGAAGAGTGATGTTTGAACCTATATGACATATGGCAATTCGTTTCTATTTGCAGGCATAAAATGAGATACGGCTTAAGTAGTTTAGAGGAAGGAAAGAGATTTTTGGTTATTTGCTCAAATATATGGTTACGACAGCTGATAAATCACTAAAGGTGTTTCTACCTACTTTTTATAATAATGAACCCTAACGTTCACACAATTTTCCACAAGCGAGCTGTTTTGGCAGCGTGAGAGTTTTGAACGCGTTCAATCGTTGATAGTTGTGCAATTTTCAGGTACAGCAGAGACAGCTGTCCTATCTGTTCCGGTAACATTGTTGTGTCCAGTCTTCCGGCGAGTGGTTCACGATAAGACCCTCCCAACATGTGGTCCGAACAATAAGTGGGGTCAGGCTTGTGCATTTGTGAACTTGAATAGTGAGCTAATCTCAAACGAGTGGGGATTACACACACAAATAGCAGCTTTGATGTTCCACGGCAATCGCCGTTCGTGCTGTGCCTTATGCCAACCGAACCTGTCTGGCGAGAATCCCTACTATCGAACCTAATAAGCAAATACTGATTGCAAGCATGTTACATGTGACGACAGCAAATGGACGGCGTCAGCTGTTGCATAATGTTCGAACGGCAACCAAGGTAGGTGGTGATGCGAATTCTCGGTAACTTGGCTGCGGTTGTCACGCAGTTATGTGGACAAGCGGTTGGAGAAACGACAAATGCAAATGGATTGTGTATAGAGAACTGTGGGCGACTGAGAACGCAAGTAGGTACGAAAGCCACGACTAATCGTAAAAAAGAGTGAAAATATCCCCTAGGTTCAAGGTTTAATCAATGTACGGACCATAATTCGTAACATATCATAAAGCTTGTGTGAGGACCTGTCGTACAGTAACCAAAGTGTCCGGATTGCAAGTGTGCACGGTTTAAACCTAATAAAAATGTTGAACGGTAATGGATACCTTGTCGACATGACGGTATTGGTATTGATATAAACCAAGATGATGAAACAATCTAGTTATCGAAGAGCCCATAAAATTCATGAAGGTGGTACAAGTTTCAAGCTAGGTATGATAGCACTTCAACATTTCTCCCACTGTCGGAATGTATTTCCTAAACCTTTACAAGCCAGCTGTAGCTGTTTAAACTCACTGAGTGGCATGCAGTAATTATACAACTTGTGACTATTACGGCGGCTTAGGTGCTCTACTCAATTTCTACGCCAGGTTAATTTGCGTTAGGTATGAAATGGTGGGATTCGAAAAGTTTCAAGTATAATTGTCATGGTCAAGTAAGAATTCTGCTAGAACAAGTAGTCAAATGGCTTAGTTTAACGGAGATGAATCTGTCTGAGGTTTGCTGAATTGAAATGGCTTTATCCAAATGAGTTTGAGTATACCTTTATTATCTTCCGTTCGCTGCGCCGTTGCTTGTATTCAAGCTGCAATCAGTTCGTCTTTTGTCACAACATGTTGGGGAACATGATGCGTTCAATTCAAGCAAATGTTTTCTCGGTTATCCATTGTTAATATTTATAAGGTGATGGGTGATGGTAAGTCAGATGAGAACACCAACTCTTGGTTGGAATAAGATGGAAAAACTAGCAAACAACCTTTGCCGTTTTCACCGTGTATTTTAATGGTGCATACGACAATGGGAAAGTTAATATCTCAGTACTTACTATCCAGTATTGTAAGTTAGCAGAAAAGCTGGTTGGAAGCAGTAGTTGATTTCAGAATGCATAGTGTTAACGTATTCCAAGCCAACACTGATATACACAAGCAACGTATCAAGCATACAATTCCCCGCTCCCAAAGCATGCTTGTCAAAGCAATTAGCTTGTTTCTTGTTCCATATGGGCATGATTTAATTTGTGTTGATGGCCTACTTTGAAATTGTCCAACATAATGCATTGAAATAGCTCGCTAATTTGTGTCGCATAAGTTATTTAATCACTATGCCTGACTCACAGTGTACAGAAAATTAACCAGCAACCATTATTTTCCGTCTACTCTTTTTTGTTCATTCTTTACGTTTAACAACGAGGCTACCACTGTGAGAATCAGAGCAATCACTGATAATTAATGGTGACTCATTTTTGTCCATTTAAACGGTTGATTGTGAGCATTTATGCTCGGTATCCAATGTTTGATCTCACCCGGTCTACGTTTGTCAATGGATTGATCGACAAGCCTTTCTGAGTTACAAAAATTTCCCTGTGCATATTCGAGTTGAGCGTTTGGTTAAACGCTAAGAAATCTCTATGGAATCCCTAGCAATTCTTGAGGGAGCGTGTGAAAGTTGGATCACAATTGTTACCTTGACACGTGTATCTACTCCACGTAATTCTGGACACCCACCTACTCGTTAACTGAATAGGGCTTTCTTTCATCTTTTGCTCCATCTGCTTTGAATAACCTGGTAACTACCGTTGAACCGTGCTGTCAAAAGATAAAAACTTTGTCTGACCTGTTAACAATTTATTTGCACAGAAACGGCCAATACGCACGTTTGGCAACGATAGCAGTGCTCGAGTTGTTAGTAACGGGTCTTTAGCTGAAACTGTTGTGGTCATATACAGTTAGACAACTCCTCCTGCCTCAAGTACGACCTACTCAATCCCGTTTCTAGTAAGGGAACCAGAATGGTGTTTGCTGGCTGATGTTGTTTTACGAGCTTAACAAACGAAAGAGGAATAAGTAGTAAACATATGCTATGCATTCATCGAACCTAAATCCATTAATATCACTACTGAAATTTTTGGTGTCAGAAAACTACCATTAGAAAATACTCAAGTCCTGACGATTTCTTTCGGAAACTTTAACGCAAAATTTGTTATGAGCTAAGTACCCAGCTACTATTTCCATAATACACTCTTTCTTACGCTATAAACTGTTATGAAGGATTCTGGTAAGCTACCAAGCGCGATGAAGCAAAAATATCTGAAGTCTTCAGCGGGGAGTCATACTGTCACAACGCTCACTGTAGTATTAGTGACGGTAGTTCCATAATTTGGACTATGAGCAGCCTTAGATTTCAAGGTATAGAAAATTTGAATTACGAGAGCTGTTACCATATTCTATTTTCGGTTGTGCATTCACCAGTTTAAACGTTAGGAGATGGAAAATATGTGGAGAGACTTTTAAGCTAAAGGCGACAAGTGCACTGACTTACAGTCTACTTCGCAGTCAACTTACCCTGAGTGCTCGCACGAACTTTGATTCTCAAAGTCGCTCTACCGCGTCTTTATCTGATCCATTTCATGAAAATTGACTCAGGCTGTTACAAAATACTTTCATAAAATATTGCAGCATAATTCCACTGAGCTGAAGCATTTGTTTTGTGTTAGGTGTGACTCTGCCCTTAGCATCTAACGTCTACGACTGACAGCTCACTGCGCATGTGACGTGCATTTCGGGTGTTTCACGACCACAACTTTCTGTGATTGGACGCGGTGACTGACCAATCATCACAGTCTAAAAGTTGAATACATCGGATAGAAAAAAGTATCCATCACATGGCCCTTGATACACGTCTCATTGTCGTCGACAACACTTTGTACATGCTTCAACACACTGACGGCGACAGTGAGTCATAACAACCTGACACAGGTGATGTTTAATGTTGATAGATGGAACAGTCAGACATAATCGACGACGCCCAAACAGCTGGAGCCAAGGAGTCGGGTGCGGTCGGGCTGCAAGAAAACCTATTAGTAGAGGCAGCTCGTGACCAATACAATTGTTTCGAGGGAGCCGAAACTTCATATCAGTCTGCACAAAGTGATATGTGGCATGATGGACAGTCAACCATGGGAACGTCATGACGGTTCTACATTGGTTGCAATTTTCGGCCGCCTGTCCATTTGCACAGCTGACGCAAACATTCTGATCAAGTTGGCGTTACATTAATTGATAACAGCATGTAGATATGGCCAAAACACAGAAGTGGTGACAAGCAACAAGGCGTCTTATAGTAAATAAATGCACCGGGTTATCTATCAAACGAACTGAACCAGAAAGGTTTTTGGCAAATTATTAGTGCAACTACAGTGTTTCTGTACCATTTTTGGAATATAACTACTCAGTGGATGTATGCATAGCAAGTACAGCACGAAGTTACTTTGGAGGACGTCTACGTCACATTGTTTACAATCAAACTACGTAGACTGATAGTTGAGGCAAATGCCTTCTGCTAGCCAGTGTGTACTTTAGTGGATTTATGGTAATTGGAACTTTCAGGTGTGTGAAATACTATAGTTTGTAGTAATGACTTTACTGGTCAGCTGCATTACCCAGAAGTCAGCGTCATAACAACAGCCAATATTCCGATATTTAACTGTTTACGATTCTATGGCCACTCAGACTGTTCTAAATATCGTCATAGTTTTACAAGTGAGTAGAATTTCGTTAGCTGGAAAAACAAGTCGTTTACTTAACTACTGATAATCCACAGGTGATTAGTGTGGTTATAGTCGAAAAGGGCCTGGTACCAAAGACACAAGGCCAAAACGATCACTTAGATTTACTGCATAAAGGTTTCCATTATTTGCATTTAACCTTTAATCCCGCGAGAAATCTGCCAGTTATATAGCGGACCGTTATTTGCGCTGAAAAGAAAAATGGGCGTTGTCTCTGACATGTGCCCTCTGCACTTCCTACCCTCTCATTCAGGCCGAAGACTTGCCAAGGTATTTTGAAAAACATGAGCACGTTGGTAGGCCGGTGAAACTAACCTTATCTTTGACCCATTCCTGCCCAATCTCTTCAGCTTTCTAACTCAATTAGAAGAAAGTCTCAGTGTATGCCTGTGAAACATGTGCGCATTGACAGCGTGGAAAACGGATGCCAGTCCGCTACTCCATCAAATTTACTCATTGTCCCCTTTCCATTTTATCGCTCCACAATGTGTGAAGCATTTTGTTTGATTTTATCAAATCATATCCCACGTAAAATGCTTGCATGTGTTGCGCGTTTAGTAGTTCTGAGTTACTATCTTTTATAACGGAGACTTAGTCAATATACTTGATTATTGTCGCAGAAGATATTCTTTTTGTTCGTTGTCAACCTTTCCCTGTGCCATTCAAACGATTACCTCATGCCAGTATTTTCGTCCAACAGTTTGCACGCAAGACATGTTTTTCCATTAGTTGGTCAAGATTTTCTCCCCACTGGATGCCATCCGAAAAACATACAGTGCCGCAGGTCTCTCTGCTGATCCGAAGTCTTACTGTAGTATGTTGTGGAAAGTTCTGTCGCAGTCTGTAGAAGTTACTGGGAAACACATCAATTTCTCCTCAGAACTATTTGTAACGTCAAGCTAGATGCGCAATCTCAATGAAGGCCACGATTCCAATCGAAGTGAACCTTAGTCAGTGGGATAACTGGAATTGCAAATGATGAATCTGATGAATATCACCTGTTGCCCGCCTGAACACACTGTCCTCCAATACGCGTTTCAATCCTGTTTGATCTCATCAGGTAGAGAGCACGCAACAAACTCGGGATCATTGGAATGTTAATTGGAACCTCTTCCCCTTTAGCTATCAGGCCACAAAACGCATCACATGGCACAATGATTACTGACTGGTTGGAAGGCCATACTGAGCCATCCGTATTGTGATTGGATTGTGGCGCGCAATCTCAATGTAGACTGCAATTCACATTGTAGTGAACCGTGGCCAGTGCGGTCACTGGAACTGTTGCCTGCTCTCTCTATCTGAAAGTAACAGGTAAGGTCGAATCCTGTCGAGGAGGTAACATCCAAAATTCATCGGCTTCATCGCTTACGGTCCCAGTGATTGCATTTGCCAACATTCCCTCCGACGGGAATCGCAGTCCACATTGAGATTCTGCGTCGCAATCCATTCATACGGTGGCTGCTTTAAACTCATTCTTCAGTGTTGTAAATCTCATTTACTTCGTTGTTTCGTCTAAGCCGTTTCGCTGAAACGTCCTTCATCACAATGAAAATTACACGTGCTAGTCCAGGGCTTGAACTGCGGCTTCGCTCCCAGTCGATCAAAAGTGCTTTGGACTCTTCATTAACCTTTAGTTTTCGACATAAAAGGTTTTCGGAGAATTCATTCAATTTCCACCGTCTCGGAACCGTGTGATGCAGCGCAACATAGTCATAAATTTGAACAAAGTAATCCGAATTATGTACAAATAGACATAACCTGTAAATCACCGTTTTTTGGTAATCCCCCATTTCTAAATACTACCAATGTTTGTTGAATACCTCTGGCTTGCTTACAAGTTTGGCCTGATTACGTTTGCAATACACTCAATTCTACTGCGATTTGGCAGTGAATATGTGTGTCGACATGAGTGATCGGTAAATGAATGAATTAAATTCACACAGGAGGCTAGTTCACATAATGCACGCCAACATACAGTTAACTACCCACGTTCATTCCCTCGCCTACGGTTCACAAGTCTGCTGACGTTTAGAAGTAAGCTTAAGAAAAAAGCAACTTTACCAGCTACTTCTGTAATCTGATAAGGTTGCTATCCCTGTTAAAGAACCCCAGTGCAGCTAACCCCCTGCACAAGTCGAAGTCACGATTTTTACCAAGTCCTAGGGTCATTTCACAAAATAATTTCAGTTCTGGCATGGGAGAGCGAAGTATATCTAACCATATCGCTGTCTGTCATCTTGAACAGTCATCTGGTAGCCATCAGATTGTTTTGAAGCTTTTTAAGTTCGGACAGAACTGGCCTAGACGAGTAGTAGATGTGTGAACAAGACAAAGAAATTGTAATTGTAAAAATCTCAAGTACAGTTTACTGTTTTCTCCCATCAAATGATATGTAAATTTGCAGAGTGAGTAGATATAGGCATGTACTTTTTAAAAAAGGCACCCATTCTATTTTATGTCCAAGCCTGAATCCCTTTTGAATATTGTGAGATGACTGACTGAGTCCTGAGCAATGAATTAAATGTCAATCCAATATAAATAAATGGGCTGGGTGGTGGATGTTTTCTTAGCTTCCTTTTCATTGTAAGATCACAGGGTGTGTATCATAACGTGCTACCATATATCCGTCTGATTTGAATAACTGTTGTTGTAGTATGTCATATATATATATATATATATTTATACGCCTGTATACCTATACATATGGTTGGATGTATTTGTTTCCGGATTTGTCTGTCATTGCGGCCTTCATAAGACAGCCACAGAACGTCTGCGCCTACAGAGGGATAATGGGTAGCTTGCGCTGCACCACCTACAGCTCCATCTACATACGCCATATCCAGCGTAAACCAGAAGGAATTAGACCGGGAGGCACGTGGGCGGGAGCCACAGTTCATCAATGGAGCCGGCCCACACTCATTCACAAACAAACACATGGTATTTGAGCAGTCTAGCGCACACAGTGCGGTGGCTGGACCATAGTCCGCTCCAAACTCAGTGCATGGAGCCATTCTCCGAGCCTAGCAAAGCCACCAAGACCGCGCATCCCGTCCCATCCAGCAACGACCAACGGTCCCCTAGAGCCAGTACAGATTCGCGGTGGGTAATAGACAAGTAGCACTTTGTCAACACGCACATCAAGCGCAACCACACTGTGATGTCAACAAACAGCCAATCATTGGAAATGACAATATCAAATAATAATAGATCGAAAACACCATACGGATATGCCGACATAACTCCGCGCTAAGTCAGCATTTGAAATAAATGGGTACTCAAGGGATCCACGATAAATCCAAGGTGGCAGAACAAGAGATCAGGGGAACGTATGGAAAAAACGAAAAATACAGATGAAGTTAACCACTTTTGTTAAAGCGACTTGTGCAAACAAATAGAAACTTATTCAGGTGCACATTAAAATAAAGTAACAAAATAAGCTTTAAGCAAATATAGCAAAATAATCACCAGAGGTAGAAAATCTCGGAATCCAAGTACGTAAGAATAAAGTAGAGTGGAAGCGCATACAGCTACCCAGCAATGATGCGCATGTTCTGCTTACGTTCCCAGCAAGACCCATCGTTGTTTCAATACTGACCTCGAGTGGCCTCGCTCGTCACTCACTAAACCTGTCTAACACATACACTCGCGACCGCATGTGTCATAGCACCGTGCACTGGACGTCGACGGAGTACACTCCATCGTCGCCTGCCGATGCTTCTCCGGATGCATGAGGACTTTCTCCTGCACTACGGTGGCTGCCTTTGTGATTAGATCGCAATTGCGCTTTCCAAGACCTGAAATCAACACTAGAATGTGATACGCTCACCTTGAACATGTCCTGGTAACAAAGCTTCGGTTTCCTCACATGCCGCTTCTCCACACTCAGCTGAGCATACAACAGCTGCTTCGGTATCCGCGTCGAATGCATACGGCACACATGACCAAAACAACAGGTGTCTCAGCAAAAGTATACAGCATCCACTG